TATATTTGGGAGTGACTGCAAGCATTTTTCCATCTGTGTGCAACGAACTGACTCTGATTATTGATCCCCTCTCCTGCCCTTTCCTAGGTAATTTAAATTGGTCATGGTAGATTTTTTTCATACATTTGAAAAACTTTTAGGTTGTTACCAAGTATGAAGTATAAATCTGGGGAAGAGGCTTTATGTACATTTTAGGGTGGGTAAGAAAGCCACCTTGTTACAAATTTTTTAATTTCCAAAATAATCTATATTAAATGAGAGTTTTCTGATCTGTACTTTGTGTTTAGCTACCTTTTTATATTTAAAAAGTTAAAAATGAAAATTATGTTCTTACAAGCTTAAAGCTTGATTTGATCTTTGTTTAAATGCCAAAATGTACTTAAATGAGTTACTTAGAATGCCATAAAATTGCAGTTTCATGTATGTATATAATCATGCTCATGTATATTTAGATACATATAATGCTTTCTAAGTGAGTTTTACTCTTAAATCATTTGACTTGCTGTTTACTCCCTTCTGTAGTTTTTAATTAAAAAATTTAAAGATAAGTCTACATTAAACAATGATCACATCTAAAGCTTTATCTTTGTGTAATCTAAGTATATGTGAGAAATCAGAATTGGCATAATTTGTCTTAGTTGATATTCAAGGCTTTTAAAAGTCATTATTCCTGGGCTTGGTAAGTGAATTTATGAGATTTACTGCTGTAGAAAGTATAGATGGCCAAAGGACCGTTTTGTATTGCTTCCTGATTACCAGTCTGATTATACCATGTGTGCTAATATACTTTTTTTGTTATAGATTGTCTTAATGGTAGGTCAAGTAATAAAAAGAGATGAAATAATTTAAATTCTTAAATGGATCAGTTTTTCTTCCCTTTCTCTTTTCCGTCTTTCTCTCTCTGTCCTTCCCCTAAAGTCTACTCTGATGGGCAAAAATGAAAAGGGAAAGTGAATTATGGGATCAGTGTTTTGAAAGACAATGTTTATTTTCAGTGCTTTTCAGTTTGTCAAAGAGTGGATCTCAAAATCTTGCTTAAAGGGTAATTGAGATGTAGCAGATTTATTTACTTAGTCATGGAAGGAAAAAATTCAGTCAGAAGCTACAGATTTCCTTTTGATTGAAGATAGATTGGTTCTGTGGCCTTGGAACTTTCCCAGACTTAATGGGGAAACATCATCTCTGGATTAGCATACTCTTTGGTTTAAATTTAATACATACGTTAATGCTACTTGGGATACTTTTATATTTTGCATAAAAAGCCTTATTTCTGATGCTGTTTCCTTAGGTTTCTGAGGAGTGAGATGATTAAGTTGTATTCATTAGTAGTGTGTTGGTATGTTTTCACATTCAGTGAAGCTGGAGATATGTTGTATGTTAGAAGAGATTCTTTAATTTGTGCTGTTTTGAACATGTGTACCTTTTCTAGATTCAGTAATCCGTTCCCCACCATCCTCTGGATTTTGAAACCTTTAGAGTCACAATAGAATATAAATAAAGAAAATTTCTCTGGGTTGACAGTCATGGTTACAGTTGAAGTCTCTCTAAGCAGTGGCCCAAGTTAGACGCTTTTTTTTTGTTTGTTTTATTTTTTAATGATTTAAATACTGACATTTAAAAATTGAAGTAGCATGTCAGTTTTCTTAATACTACTTTATCTCCAACCACAAATAATAGCTGAACCTTTTGTACTTATGTTAGGCCCTGGCAGTGTATGTTTAGATGGGCTAAGACAACATCAAGAAGCAATGGCTAGATAACCATTTAATTTGTCCCCAAAGGTATGTTTTTATCTATCTATTTTCTATCTATCTATCTGTCTGTCTGTCTGTCTGTCTATCTATCTATCTAAGACGGTGTCACTCTGTCACCCAGGCTGGAGTGAAGTGGCATGATCACTGCAGCCTCTCCACCTCCCAGATTCAAGTGATTCTTGTACCTCAGCCTCTGGAATAGCTGAGACTAGAGATGTGCGTCATCACTCCCAGCTAGATTTTTGTATTTTTAGTAGATAGAGGTGGGGTTTTGCCATGTAGTCCACGTTGGTCTCGAACTCCTAAGTGCAGTCTGCCCACCTTGGCCTTCCAAAGTGCTAGCATTACAAGTATGAGCCACCGTGCCTGTCCCCCAAAGGTATTTATTATAATAGCTATCAGTAAAGGCTGTAGCTGTGTAAATTTAAATCTCTTCCTTCTTATGCTATGGGATTTTTACATAGAAAGCAGCATTGTTATGCACATGTACCACTAAAATTTGTTTCTTGACATAAGTTCAGAGCTGTGACTTCATCCTGACTACACCTAAAACCAAAACCACTGAGTAAGATTTTTTCATTTTGTGAAAGTTCTGGCAATTTTACTTAAGTAGCTGTGTGATTTTAAAGGTTGCCACTAGATGGAGAGCTTTTTAAAATCTTTGTTAATCTTAAATGAGTTAACCATTGGTCCTCATCATTCATGGATTCTGTATTTGTAGTTTGCCTACTTGCTAAACTTTATTTGTAACCCCCAAAATCAATAGTCACAGGGCTTTTGCAGACAAGAGAAGAGCAGTGAAAAGTTTGAGCCTCCCAACACGCGTGTTCCCAACTGAAGTGGAACAAAGGGATGCTCAGCCTTGTTTCATCTCTCATACTGTGAGTAAGTATCCTTTTCTTGGGTCTTTTTATGCCCCACCCCCCCTTTTTTTTTTTTTTTTGCATTTTTGTATTTTTTTGTTGGTGATTTCACTATTTAAAAAGCCACTAAGTGTAGTGATGAAGTGCTGACTAGTGTTCCTAAGTGCAAGAAGGCTGTGTTGTGCCATATGTAGAAAATATGTATATTGGATGTTTTCTTTTAGGCCTGGGTTACAGTGCTGTTGGCCTTGAGTACAGTGTTAATGAATCAGTATATATTAAATATTAAGTATCTTTAACATGCCTTAACATAAAACACACACAGCAAGGTTATGTATTGATTGGTTGATGAAAATGTAACTAGAGACTCCCAGCAACCTAACCATGTATTTCCCATAGGAGCAGTGTTCAGTATTTGCCAATGCAGTGTTTGTGGTGACTTATGGAACATAAAACTAACTCGTAAGAGAATGACTATTTTTTTTTGTAATCTTCAAACTCAAATTATCTTCCTGACTTTTGAGAAGGCTGAAATGAATTCTTCCAAATGCCTCTTTCCATCAGTTTACATGCTGTACAGTTTCCTTTCTTTCTTTTTTTAGTTTGCTGTCAGTAGTAACTTGAAAAGTTCTCAAAGAGTCAAGAGAATTTTTATTTCATGGGACATTAACAGTTCAAAATGAACATGTTGGAAGAACTTGAGTAAGAATGACATTGGCTTTCTGAATGAAGTTGGTTTTCTGATATTTTTGAGAAATGAGTCTTAATTTTGTTTAATCAAAAAGTAATGGAAGGTTGAAGGATAAGTGAATAATAAGGTAGGTATACCACATAACATGGTGAAATTCAAGCCTATTACTTTGAGTTTGTAGAGTGCAGCAAAATTTGTATATAGGCCATTGGAAAACCAGTCCTTCGTTATAAGAGGTGGCGGGTTTTGAGGTGGAGCTGTAGCCTGCTTTCCTGAGAGTCTGTTATTTGGAAGTCCCAAACCATTTTGTGCTGTTCTTTGAACGTTTTTACCCAGACATTTTCCCACTCCTGTGTGTGATCTCCTGGTTCTTCATCCAGAGGGAAGAAAGAACTTGAAGCAGGAGAGACAGTAGATGAAGTGGGGAGCCCTGTGCTGCAGTAGGGCCACAACAGTTAAGGAAATCTTTGGGATTAAGGTTTCTCTGTTAAAGAGTTGATTTAAAAAAAAAATTTTTTTTTGGTATTTTTTGTAGAGACAGGGTTTTGCCATGTTACCCAGGCTGGTCTCGAGCTCCTGAGCCCAAGTGATCTGTCTGCCTAGGCCCAAAATGCTAGGATTACAGGTGTGAGCCCATGTCTAGCTGATTTTTTTTTTTTTAAACAACAAAAAAATATATAACTTCATAAATTGGGTGGGATACTATTGGGTTTTTTGTTACAGTGAAAAGAACACTTTGGAATAGGTCTAAACCACTCAATTGTGTGATTTTGCTTACTCTCTCTGAGCCTTAAAGTTCTTCCATGCACATTGGAGGTTAGGGGGTTATATCTATGTTTGAGAGGATTGGAAACCTGTGTGTTGCTTCTGTAACGTTGGTGAAGCGCCTCACGTGGTCAGATCTCAGTCAATGGTAGTGATTTTATAGAGACACAAAGTTCAGGGGCAGCATACTAGTAATGTGGGAGTACCAAGGGGTCAGAAGTGTTATTTGTCTTGTCAAGGCTATGTTTGCTCACACTGCAGAAAGCTTGGAGGCATTTCTGGTTCTTGACCTTGTACTCTCTTTAGTGACAGCTCCATTCTACTCCTGTCATGCTTACAGTGTTTGAACCTCTGGCCTTTACTGGAAACGTTGATTTGGTGAAATTGGGCATTTTTACTTGTTGACTGACTAGTGACTCCCTGGAATGAAGACCTTCCTGTCCTTTGTGTTTTTGGTCATTAGTTATGGAATAAGCAACAAAGCCTCCTATTAAAAGGAGTTTCAGATATCAACAAGTCAGTAGGGAGAAGGTAGAGGAGACAAGGAATCCCTACTACACTTACTTTTAAGGGAGGCTTCAATAAAAAACCTGACTTAGTCTTTTTTGAGCGAGCCGCCACAGGGAGGAGCATCTAGAGGGCCTCTCCTTTCCACATAGCCCCTTTCTCCTTTGGGGATGGGCCAGGGACAGTCCTGGGGTCTTAGGGAAGAAGATTGTGGTTGGTGGGCTGTGGTCAGCCTTGGCTCTTTCCTGCCTTATTCCAGGCTTGTGTCCCTGCTAGGCCTATTACCATGCCATCCTGACCTTGGAGGACTTTCCTGTTTTTTCCTTCATTGTAATTATTTATTTTGTTACTGGCCGGTAAGTTTGACTTATGTGATGTTATTTCAATTGTAATGCTCTTCAGATTGGAACACTCCTTTTCTGATATTGTGAGCAAATCCCTATTTTATTTTTGTCACTTGTAATAATCTTCTAAGAAGATTACTCTATTACTGGGCTGTAGGGATTACTTATTCAGATGGGGCCGGTGACTAGAATGTGAGTCAAAAGTGTGAGGTCTAATTTGAACCTGTCTGAGAGTTACTATTGCCTGCCTTGGCCCAAAGTGCAGATTTTTAAAAAGTCAGCTTGTGATAGGCCAGGTGTTTTGTCTGGACCGGGAGTTATCTTTGACTTGTAGATAGGAAAAGGATCCTGAGAACAGTCAGGTCTCCACTTGATGTCTTTTTATTTGACTTGTTACCGTTAGTACTCTCCTGGGATCAAAGCTGCCAAGCCTCACCCCTACCCAGATTTCCCAGTGCACTCAGGAGATCGTCTGTGGCCTTGATGAAGCCAGTGCTTTTTGGGAAAAACGGAGCAAGGCAATGCACAACAGAAGCAGTGCACCGGAGTAAAGATCAAGTTCTGTGGACCCCACTTGCTGTTTGAGAAAATATCCTGCTTCCTTCCTAGCTGACTTGACCTCCAGCATTAACAGGTGGAGGTGAAGAAGCAGGGTCTGCACTCGAGTCTGCTGGTCTGGCTCCAGGTGTATTTTCTGAAACTGGACTCTTCCAGCCCTTAGCTTGTCAAGTTAGCCCGCCCAGAGTCTGGGGCCGATTGTTCCACTGGGCCGTCGGCTATGACACTCTGCTCTCCATGGGCCACTATGCACCCCTCCACTGTCCTTAGGATGGTTTGGAGCCTTCGATCTAAGGCAAGGAGGTGGGGTTCAGTGAGGACAGGGCTGAGCTGGTCTTCTAGCAGTGATTCTCGCATCACATCGCTGAGTCTGTAGTCGGGTTGGGCCAGCAGTTGCAGGTGCAAAAGTGTTTTCTTTTTTATCCTGAAAAGACAAAGTTATAGGAACCAAATAAGCAAATGTAAAGAAAATAACTTGCCTGAACTTAACTTCCTTCCCCACAAATAGCTGTTGTAGCTGATACTCTTGGCGCCTTTCCCCGTGTCTTCTCAGGCACATTTTAATGGAAACCAGGTAAAAAAGCGAATAAATGGAAGGCAAAATCCAGTATCTTGCAGTCCTTTGCCCAATTGCCGTTTGCTCAAGAGCCTGCATAGCCATTTGTGCTCTAATAACGGTGATGCCGGGCTATATGCATTTTCTCTGACAATGCTAAGGGAATCAAAACCAAAGTGACACTAAGATATTTCAAGGAGATTTAAAGCTAATGGGAGAAGTCTCTAGTAGGTGAAATGATGAGCTATTTGCCATCTCAAAAGCCCTCAGTACTGCCAGCCTTTAAGTTGTTTCTTGCTAACTTTATTTGTGTGTGTCAGATTTTGAAATCACAGATGAAAATGTGGTGGGACCCATTTTTAGGATTTCAGTTTCTTTTATGTGGGAATCTGACTTGGACTCTGATGCGTAAGCAGCTTAATTGACTTCTGTCATAAACAGGTACTGCTCATCCAGTCCTGCTCAGGAGGCGGGGAAGGGAGGCCAGAGGGAAGCATGTTTAACCTAAGACGTAGATGAAGAATACGCATGCTCTGCTCCAGATTTTCCAGCTGGAAACAAATGAGATGTTTTTGCTAGGTGTGAATATCATATTTATAATTAGCTCTGGATACTGCAGCTGAGCAGGTAGTCAATTTTACAAGCCTGGCTGAAACATCAGAGAAGAATGGGAGTAAGTTAGACATTTTCTAGAGAAATGGTGGCCAAGCAAGGGCCTTCGTGCCTTCTTCCAGTCTGCACAGGTTTACAGGACTTTACTCAGGGTTTTGCTTAGATGGTGATCAGGTAGTGATATTTATGAGCTGATATGAATGCCGGGCAAAGCAGAGGTCTGATTAGTAATATCAAAACCCAGCAGACTGCAAAAATAGGTGATGATCTGAGTGGGTCGCCGATTAAAGTTGGCAGTTGAAAGGTTTAAAGGATTAAATCCTAATTCATCCTATGTGGAAGGATGAAAAAGACAAATGTGGGGGAAATTTTGATAGTTGTAGTACAGTTGTGAATCGCTTAGTGATGGGGATATGTTCTGAGAAATGTTTCCTTAAGCGAAGGTTTTGTCACGGTGTGAACATCATAGAGTGTACTCAGTCACACAGACCTAGATAGTGCAGCCTCCTGCACCCTTAGGCTATATGATATTGCTTGTAGGCTACAAACCTTTACAACACAGTGGTGAATAGCTGTGTATATAAACAGAAAAGATAGTAAAACTGTAAAATGCAGTAAACATGCCATATTATTAATATAATCTTATGAGACCAGCATCATATATGCAGTCTGTCAGTGGCTGAGATGTCATGCAGTGCACAAATGTGTAAGAAATAAGGCAGTTCATGTCACTACCCACTTATGTCCTAGATCAGTGAAAACTGATGAAGCCCTTCAGCCCTCGGCTGCAAGCAGCATGAAGGGTCACAGCTATTCCTTGCCCATATTATCTGCTGCAGGAAAACTTACATGCAGCACTGGGAGAGAGGCGAGAGGATGGAGATTTCATCATAGGAGTGTCGTCCGAACCTAGGAGGAGAAACAGGCTTTTATGGGTGGCTGGCAGCATCCTTCGCATTCCCCTGAGGCTTCCTCTCTCCTCTCAGTATTTTGTGAATCAGAGATTGGGGTAAAATGCCAGGGATCATGGCAGCTGCCTCTCCAGCCCCTCCGCAGTCAGATCACAAAAGCCTCTGTACAGAGATATTAGAGCTAAACAATCCTTCATTCACTAGCTGCAGAGGGCCAGCCACTGAGGATGCACCTTGCTCTCGAAAACCTCACCCTATTTCACTAGAGGGCACTCAGGCTGAAGGCGAATCAAGTGGTACTTGCAAAGGTAAAGAGAAAGAAGGAAATGGAAGAAGCAGGGCTAGAAGGAGATAAGGCACGTGGTGGTGGAGGCCCTCATTTGTAGGGCATCTGTTTCCCCCGAGCAGCTGGCTGCACAGAGCAGCACATCTGGGAGAGGGGAGTGTTGAACACACGTGGGGACACTTACCCTCTGGCGTTGTCCAGGTGAATAAGGAACCCATCATCCCCGAACTTGGTGAACATCTCATAATGGTGCCGGTCCATATTTCCTGTGAAGGAGGGGAGGACTCAGAGCCGGGACCAGCAAGCCAGGGGGTCAGGTGCTCCTGACCTGAGTTCTCTCCAGGGAATGGAGGCCTGTCGTCACTTGAGGGGCAGGGGTGTGAACAAGCTGGGCCTCACACTATCATTTCCCCAGGGCCATCAGTGAAGCAGCCGCAGGAGAGAGAAGGAAGCGAAATGAGCAAACCCTAAATGGACTGGTTTCAAGTCTAAGGCTTTCATCCTTGCCCCTGCCCCTACCCCAGCCTTTGGCCAGGGATTTGAATGTGCAGAAAGTCACCTTTGCACCTTGTGTACGTATTGATACTGGCTTTCCTCAGCCCAGAGATCCTCAGCTGAGCCTGGGTATAGTAAACAGACACAGCTAAACTTCTGAAAGGCACGATGATGAGCCAGCTGTCTGACTTGCTTCGGACCTAAGCTCCTATGTGATGGCCACCTTCATGTGTCTCCTCTCCCTAGAAGTCCCTGTGGGCCTGGAAGGTGGAATTACTAGTCTTGCGTGTCCGTGGCCTCGCCTGAGGCCCTCCCTGCTACATGCTTGTTGTGTACTTTCTTCCTTTCCTACCTGGCGTCCCCTCACTTGGTGAAGTGAACATACAACTTCCAATCTGATGCCCACTCAGGCCCTGCCTTATGAGTGACGACCCCTTCAGCTTCTTCCAGTTCTTTGAAGAGAGGCGAGCCTGTTACCTTCTGTCCTCTGGGACCTCCGCCACTTCTGAGGCTGTGGGAGGTGCAGAGTTACTCAGTCCTCATGAGCCAGGTTGTAAGTTTGTGCACAAGGTCACAGGGAACCCCTGCCACACAGCAGAGCCCACTTCCGCTGGGGGCCTGCGTGTGGGGACCTACCTATCAGGAAGTCGAAGATGGCCATGTCGATGACATTGAGGAGCCGCTGGCTGCTGTTGTACGGGTAGATCTGTTTCACTGTGTCACAGTAAAGGGCATTGACCTCCCACCTGAGGGGGAGAAGAAGTCCTGGGGCTGGAAAAGCCAAGATGGCAGGGTGTCGGGGGGTCTCCCCACACCTCCCCCGCCCTCCAACCCCTGCCTCCCTGATCCTGTGCTGGGCCGGTGGCCGCTTCTCACATTCAGAAAGACCCTGGGCAAGGACATGCATATTCCCTATGGTGAGAAGGTTCTGGGTCCTTTCACTCTGGTGGACACTAAGGCCATGGCTGGGACACTGCATGCCAGAGGGGAGATGTCGGGGCGGGCAGGAAAGAAGGGGGCAGTGACCCTCACCGGCTTCCTCGTCCCTTCCTCCACAGTCCCTCTCACCAAGCCTCTTGGACCCTGGCCCTCCAGGGCTCTGCACCACTCAGCACCTCCATGGGCTGTTCCTGCCCTTTCTCTCTCACACACGGTTTTCTGCCTACAATGCTCCGATGCCCATTTTCATCCGAGGGCTCTTCTCAGCCTTCACAGAGTCCCTCAGGATCTGTCATGTTCTCCAGAAATTCTGCCTGGTTACTTCTCTTCCCACTACAATCATGATGGCTTGATTGATGGATCGATTCCCTCAGCTAGTGTGGAGTAGCTGCTGCGTGCCAGGGAGGCTGCTAGGTCCTGGGGATGCAGCATGAGGTCCTTGGCCTCCCAGGGCTTGCTCAGGGGATTCAGGTGTCCCTCCCATGGGATTCTCGTGTGTACTCTGGTTATAGCAAGTGCTGTGCTGTGTTTTCGTGATCTGGCTATGTGTCGGTCCTCCCCACTAGACCAAGGAGCTTCCTAAGGAGAGAGTCTGAGTCTTCCATTTCTGTATCCCATAGCACTTAGTGTTGGGTACATGGAAGGTTCTTTAGAACTGAATAAATGAACTGAAGGGAGATAACGGATCCAGGTGTGCTGATCCCAGGATCAATATGAAATGGGGCAAAGGAGTATTGAGGCAGCTTTTCAGATTCAAAAGCCAAGCTAGCGACAAGTCCCTGGTACAGGATCTGTGGCTACTGTCAAGGACTGGGCTGTGTGGCTTGGGGACCAACTCACTCCTCTTTTCCTGCCAGTGTGTAGGAGCGGATCCAGGGGTTGGGCACAGACAGCCGGGGGGCCAGGTTGAGGGACGGCAGGAAGGCAGAGAGAGAACCCTCCAGCAGGTGTGGGTTGCCACAGACAGCATACTCCGTCTTGCACATGTACGGACACTTGGCAAAGAAGCACACGTTGCTGGCTGGAGGATGGGGAGGAGAGAGGAGAAGGAGTAAGAGGAGGGCTCTGGAGGCGTGACATCTTCCTGCCCTAGCAAATCCACTGGGAGGGAAGGGAAATCCTGAACTCACAACTTGGGAAGAGACAGAAGAAGGAAACACTAACTTTTCCAGAAGTGAGGGTGTGAATGCTACTAAGCTGAACCTCCTGGGTACCTGCTTTCAAATGTCTCAAGCTCACTGCATTCTATCCTTGTGAGTGGAACACTCTTTATTACCCTGGGTGGATAACCTCTGGTTCCGGGAGGCCAGCATTGTAGGGTCAGTGCCCACACAGACTAGGGAGCATCTCACACACAGCCTTTCCCATCCACAGTTCATCTTGTGTTATGGTCAGGCAGACGACGGTGGGAGTGTCTTACAACTTCATACGCCCATCCCAGTAATGGATAGTGCTGGCAGCAGGGTGTCAGGCCACTGATGAATGGAGGGGTGGACACTCTGGCTTACCATGTACTCAGACCCGGAATATCACTCGGGCCAGTACTCTACCTGGAGAGACAAAGAAAACACTCTGCAGGATTTCATTCTTGGTGACCTCTAGGATTTCCTTGGTGACATTCACTAGCCTCCCCACTGTTGGCGGCACCCGTCGGAAGTCCAGAATCCTGCAAGAGAGGAAGCTGTGTTCCATCCGAGCGATGATCGGGGAGTGAGGAGGAGGGGTTTTGTCCCCCGGCCAGTGCACATTAGGAATTGGTTGGTGTACCCAAGAGGGTGGCCAGTGAGATGGGTCTCTGGCCTTTAAACCTAGGTCTAAAGGAGTGGAGATGGAGTAGAAAATGAATCCTATTCTATCAAGCCTCCTGGGAAAACCTTGCCACCATCCCATCTGTGTTCTTGGTCAGTGCTTCTCATATTTCAGTGTTCCTGTGAGTCACCTGGCAATCTTGTTCAAATACAGGCTCTGACTGAGTGGCTCTAGGGTGGGGCTGACGTTCCTTATTTCTAAAAAGCTTCTTGGAAGTGCCCATGACGCTAAAGACCACACTTTGGGTAGCAATGACTGAGCAAATAGAGGAACTGGAATGTTTAGGAATGTGCTTTCACCTGATAAAACAGTGAGACTTCTTGGATAAATAACAGTGGGTGCATTCTCCTCGCTCTCAGATCAGAAAACTAGAGCAACTGGCCCAAGCAGCATGGCGGGAAACGTGTTCTTTATAAATTGTTCTTTTCATTGTAAATCATTCTTTAATGAATGTTCATTACATTCATTAGAAGGCCTTGTATTTTTCAATCTGGGGGTTGCATGGGACATTTTGGGTTCAAAGACACCACGATGAGGCACGAAGAAGATAAAAAGCCAGAAGGAAGAAATGCCAGGGAGTTCCCACCTGAGGGTCTGTCTAGTCACCCCTCCCAGAGGATTGGTCCTCATAGGCAATACCATCTCCATGGGGCCAGACCCTACCTGTCCAGGTGGAAAGCTGCGATCTCAGCATTGTGTCTCTGAAAGTCAATGAAGTAGAAGAAGTCCACGGGCGTCTCCTCATCTCGCTGCTGTCTGGAAGGAAGGAAGGAATCACGCCCTGGACTCAGACTTCAGCTTGGAGCCTGAGAAGAGAGCTGATGAGCATGACCAGTGAGAAAGGAAAACAGGCTTTTATGCTTTTCATGTACACACACAGGCGATGGCACGGCTTGGCCAGGAGAAGACATGCAAAGTGGGAGGAGACAGGCTTCTTGCAAGACGTTGTCCTACAGGCACCAGCAATACCAAGTTTCCTACTTAAGAAGCTTTGGTGACAGTGGCTGATTATTTTCAAAACCCAGCAGTTGAGAGGGAAGAAATAGACATTCTTCTGCAGGTATAAACAGAAGAGAGACGAATGGTTAGCAGAACCAGAGGCAGTATAGACCCAGATGTCCAAGGATGAAGAAAGGTGGGAGTATGAGCCAGGAATTGGTAATGGAAAAGTGGCCCAGAAATGCAATTTAGTACGCTGGGGTTGAAGAACAGAAAAGTTCTGGGTCTTAGGGGGATGTGGGGGAAATATGTGGGCCATCATCCTCTCAGAGAAACACAGCTGGATCATGAGGGCTGAGGGCGGCTGGTGCAGAGGATATTGATTTATATACATTGAATCTCTAATGAATTCCTGAAAAGCGCCAGGCTGCCTGAGAATGGTGGGACCTGCTGGGTGTGTACATTCAGGAAAGTGCTTCCTAATCATTAAGGGCATCTTGGTGTGAGTTCTGGCCTCTAGGCTGACTTTGCCTTGATGCTAATAAACATGGAAGAATGACGATCTTCGAATAATTTTATAATCCACTGTGTGGGGCTGTTAAAATGACTGCAAGGCAATTTAAATGTAAATAAATGTAACGTTGCAGAAAGCTATAAATAAGAAACACTGGCAATTCAAACCGTGATGTGCATTTTGCCAAAAAACACAAGTGAGTCCTGGAAACCACAGTGAGGTGCTGCCAAAAGTAGAAATTCTATTTTAAAAGGTACAGCCACAGTTACAGTACAGCCCTCTGTGTTCAGGCCTGACCAGCTTCTCATCATCGTCACTGGATGTCCAGGCTAGCAAGGACAATCTGTCCTCCCAGTCTTGTTTTAATTTCTGAGTCCCACCTATAGGAACATATCATCTCTTAGACACCCTTTAGGGTCTTCTAAAACATTTTCTCATTTTCGTATGACATAAGATAGAAGTGATTTTAAATTTGAAGGTTGTTTTCACTTTATATCAATGCTGCTTCTACTTTGAGAAGCACAAATGCACATCTCATTGCACATTATATTGTATACATTACATTTTAACAATATAAATCTTTATGTTCCTAATGTGTATTTTCCAAAGATAATGTTCTACATTCTCTCTTTAATCAGGAAAAACATGGTGTTCACCTTAAATTACTTACAGAAAAATAAAAACCACATAATTTTTCAAGAAATACATTTTAAAATGATATTATTTTAGATTTTGGACTGAATTTTATAAAAATGTAGATTACACTGTGTTGTGGTATAAAAATAAGTTGGTTCTATCACTGAATGTTGGAGGGTTTTGCGTTACATTTGGGAAAAAAGCTGGTTAATTTGAACAATTTTTGTAGAGACACACCTCAGAGTTATTGCAGGTTTGCTTCTAGACCACCGCAATGAGGCAACTATGGTAATAAAGTCATTGATGCACATTTTTTGGTTTCCCACCCAATGCATATAAAAGTTATGTTTTTATTATACTGGAGTCTTAAATATGCAATAGCATTATGTCTGAAAAATGTATACATCTTAATGGAAAAACACTTTATTGCTAAAAAATGTTAAGACTCATCTGAGCCTTCAGCAAGTCAAAATCTTTTTGCTGACTGGGGTGGTGGTTGCTGAAGGTTGGTGAGGCTGTGACAACTTTAAAAAATAAGACAACAATGAAGTTTGCTGCATTGATTCACAAAAGATTTATCTGTAGCACGCAATGATGTTTGATAGCATTTTACCCACAGTAGAACTTCTGTCAAAATTGAAGTCAGTCCTCTCAAACCCTGCAGCTGCTTTATCAACTAAGTTTGCCTAATATTTTAAATCCTCTGTGGCTTTAAATCCTCTGTGGCTTTAAAATTTTGGGGGAACAGGCCCCCCAAAATCTGGCCATAAACTGGCCCCCAAACTGGCCATAAACAAAATCTCTGCAGCACTGTGACATGTTCATGATGGCCGTAACACCCACGCTGGAAGGTTGTGGGTTTACCGGAAGGAGGGCAAGGAACACCTGGCCCACTCAGTGCGGAAAACCGCTTAAAGGCATTCTTAAACCACAAACAATAGCATGAGCTATCTGTGCCTTAAGGACATGCTCCTGCTGCAGATAACTAGCCCAACCCATCCCTTTATTTCAGCCCATCCCTTCATTTCCAGTAAGGGATACTTTTAGTTAATCTAATATCTATAGAAACAATGCTAATGACTGGCTTGCTGTTATTAAATACGTGGGTAAATCTCTGTTCAGCGCTTTCAGCTCTGAAGGCTGTGAGACCTCTGATTTCCCACTTCACACCTCTATATTTCTGTGTGTGTGTCTTTAATTCCTCTAGCGCCACTGGGTTAGGGTCTCCCCAACCGAGGTGGTCTTAGCAGTGGCCATTTCAACAATGTTCACAGAGTCTTCACCTGAAGTAGATTCTATCTCAAGAAACCAATTTCTTTGCTTATCCATAAGAAGCCACTCCTTATTGGTAGGGCATGGTGGCTTACGCTTGTAATCCAAGCACTTTGGGGGGCTGAGGTGGACGGATCACAAGGTCAGGAGATCGAGACCATCCTGGCTAATACGGTGAAATCCCGTCTCTACTAAAAATACAAAAAAATTAGCCAGGCATGGTGGTGCATGCCTGTACTCGGGAAGTTGAGGCAGGAAAATTGTTTGAACCCGGGAGGCAGAGGTTGCAGTGAGCCAAGATCCTGCCACTGCATTACAGCCTGAGAAACAGAGTGAGACTCTGTCTCAAAAACAAAACAAAACAAAAAAGGAAGCAACTTCTTATCTGTTCAAGTTTGATCATGCAATTGCAACAATTCAGTCACATTTTCAGGCTCCACTTCTAATTCTAGTTCTCTTTTATTTCCACATCTGCAGTTACCTTCTCCACTGAAGTCTTGAACCCCTCAAAGTCATCCATGAGGATTGAGATCAATCTTCTTTTAAACTCCTGTTAATGTTGATATTTCTACCTCCTTCCACGCATCATCATGAATTTTCTTAATGGCATCTAGAATGGTGAATCCTTTCCAGAAGGTTTTCAAATGACCTTGTCCAGGTTCATCAGAGGAATCACTAACTGTGGCAGCTATAGCCTTGTGAAATATATTTCTTAAACTGTAAGACTTGAAAGTTAGAATGACTGCTTGATTTGGGGGCTGCAGAATGGATGTTGTGTTAGCAGGCATGAAAACAACATTAATCTCCTTGGACATCTCCAGCAGAGCTCTTGAGTGACTAGGTGCATTACCAATGAGCAGTAATAGTTTGAAAGGAATCTGGTTTTTTTTCCCCCCTTGAGCAGTAAGGTCTCAACAGTGGGCTTAAAATATTCAGCAAACCATGCTGTTAACAGATGTGTGGTCATCCAGGCTTTCTTGCTTCATTTATAGAGCACAGGCAGAGTAAATTCAGCATCATTCTTGAGGGCCTGAGGATTTTTTGAATGGTAATTGAGTATTGGCTTCAACATAAGTCCCTAGCAACATTATCACCTAACAAGAGAGTCAGCCTGTCCTTTTTATCTTTGAAGCCAGGCATTGACTTTTCTTCTCTAGCTATGGGGAAAGTCCTAGATGGTATTTTCTTGCAATAGAAGGCTGTTTCATCTACACTGAAAATCTATTGTTAGTGTAGCTACGTTCATCAATGATCTTAGCTAGATCTTCTGGATAACTTGCTGCAGCTTCTCCATCAGCACTTACTGCTTCACCTTGCACTTTTATTTATGGAGATGGCTTTTTTCCTTAAGCCTCACGAACCAACCTCTGCTATCTTCCAACTTCTTCTGCAGCTTTCTCACCTGTCTCAGCCTTCATTGAAGAGAGTTAGAACCCTGCACTGGATTAAGCTTTGGTTTAAGGGAATGCTGTGGCTGGTTTAATCTTCTACCCAGATAACTTAAACTTGCTCCATATCAGCAATGAGGTTGTTTTGCTTTCTTATCATTCGTGTGTTCAGTGGAGCAGCGCTTTCATTTTCCTTCGATAACTTTTCCTTTGCATTCACAACTTGCCTAACTGGCACAAAAAGCTTAGCTTTCAGCTTATTGGCTTTCAACATGCCTTCCTCACTAGCCGCCTGAATCATTTCTTGCTTTCCATTTAAAGTGAGAGATGTGACACTCCTTTCATGTGAACACTTAGAGGCCCATGTTGGGTTACTAACTGGCCTAATTTCAATATTGTGTGTCTTAGGGAATAGGGAGGCCCGAGGACAGGGAGAGAGATTGGGGGAATAGCCAGTTGTTGGAGCAGTCAGAATACCCATTTAGGCCAGGCGCAGTGGCTCACACCTGTAATCCTAGCACTTTGGAAGGCCAAGGTGGGCAATCACTTGAGGCCAGGAGTTTGAGACCAGCCTGGCCAACACAGTGAAACCCCATCTCTACTAAAAATAGAAAAAGTTAGCTAGGCATGGTGGCACATGCCTATAATCCCAGCACTTTGGGAGGCTGAGGCGGGCGGATCACCTGAGGTCAGGAGTTTAAGACCAGCCTGGCCAACACGGTGAAACCCCATCTCTACTAAAAATGCAAAAATTAGCCAGGTATGGTGGCCGGCGCCTGTAGTCCCAGTTATTTGGAAGGCTGAGGCAAGAGAATCACTTGAACCCAGGAGACAGAGGCTGCAGTGAGCTGAGATTGAACCATTGCACTCCAGCCTGGGCAATAGAGTGAGACTCTGTCTCAAAAAAAAAAAAAAACAAAAAACAGTTTGAAATATTGTGAGAATTACCAAATGTGACACAGAGACATGACGTCGCACATGCTGTTGGGAAAATGGCACCGATAGACTTGCTTGATGCAGGGTTGCCGCAAGCCTTCAATTTGTAAAAAACAATATCTGCAAAGCACGATAAAGTGAAATGCAGATACAGCGAGCTATGCTTGTATTTTTTTGTTGTTGTTCTTTGAGACGGAGTTTCGCTCTTATTGCCCAGGTTGGAGGGTAGTGGCGCAATCTTGGCTCACTGCAACTTCCGCCTCCCGGGTTCAAGCCATTCTCCTGCCTCAGCCTCTCGAGTAGCTGGGATTACAGGCACCTGTCACCATGCCTGGCTAATTATTTTATATTTTTAGTAGAAACGGGGTTTCACCATGTTAGCCAGGCTGGTCTCGAACTCCTGACTGCATATGCCTGTATTTGTTTTAACTGACCAGGCAGAGAAGAAGTTTTAGGCTGTGAGTTATGTTATTTTATCTTCCTGCAAAGGAAATACTACAGTTCAAGACCAGCCTGGCCAACATGGTGAAACCCCATCTCTATTAAAAGTACAAAATTAGCCGGGTGTGGTGGTACACACCTATAATCCCAGCTACTCCGGAGGCTGAGGCAGGAGAATTGCTTGAACCCGAGAGGCCGAGGTTGCAGTGAGCTGAGATGGCGCCATTGCACTCCAGGCTGGGTGACAAGAGTGAAACTCCATCTCAGGAAAAAAAAAAAGGAAAAAAAAAAAGAAATTAGAGACATCCTATTGTGCCACATAAAAATTTTGCTCGGAGAACAGAATCTGTGGCCCTGGTGATTTGTGGTGCATTTGAAGATTTATCATTACTTTTATGCTTCTCATTAACATCTCCTGTTTCTCTATCAGTGTTCCTTAGGTTGCCTCTCTCTAACTGGTGCTGTCTTTTGAGTATATATTATATGTGCTTGACTAACTGTAACAATAATTTAAACTCTGTAACAACCAGAACCTCACTGGTGGCTCTTGTGTTCAGCTGAGCATTGTGCCAAAGAGTCACATGTCTACTTGTGGAACCTCTGCTAATTGCCATGTGTATTCGCTGTTATAGCTCTCATTTCAAAGGAACGCAAAGTATTTATTTACGTATTTTAGTACTCTATATGCCTGTATCCAAGCTGAGGTCCCTCCTGAAACTGTCCCTTGGAAAGGAGTCTCTATATTCAAATCCTGTCATAGTTAATCACTTAATTTTGTTTGGGACAGATACATTAACCTGGAATGACTTGACTTTGTGCTGGTTTTACTGCCTGGTGTAACTGGTTACAATAGGTTGTTGGTAGTGATGGGGGAGGGGAGCGGGGAAATAATTTAATATTGATTTAACATTCACCCCAAACTTGACTCTAAGTGATGATGAAACCAATGCCCAAAATTTTTGACAAGTAAAATCTATAGTGGGAGAAAAAAAAGCGATATTTCTAAATCTATATACTGTTTTATAGGACGGGATTTTTAAATGAATATATAAGCAGACATTCAATTGTTTCATGTACATTTCTGGAAAGTTTTCAGTTGATCTAACAACTAGGATTTTGGATCTTTCACATAGGAAAAATGGGGGAACTCTTTCTTGTTTTTTTTTTTTGAGATAGAGTCTCCTTCTGTTGCCCACGCTGGAGTACAGTGGTGCGATCTTAGCTCACCGCAACCTCCTCCTCCTGGGCTAAGACATTCTTCTGCCTCAGCCTCTCGAGTAGCTGGGACTACATGCACGCACCACCACGCCTGGATAATTTTTGTAGTTTTGGTAGGGATGGGGTTTCGCCATGTTGGCCAGGCTGGTCTCAAACTCCTGACCTCAGGTGATCCACCTGCCTTGGCCTCCCAAAGTGCTGGGATTACAGGTGTGAGCCATCGTGCCCAGCGGAGGAACTCTTTATACAGCGGTGGTTCTCAAGGTTGCCTGGGCCTTGGGCAGGGGTGTCCACTGGACTCCCTGAGGGTGGGACTCAGGCATAAGGATTTTTAAAGGCTCCTCAAGTGAATCTAACATGCAGCTGATCCACTCCAACCCCTTCTTTAAGGAGGTGCTTTTGCGAAAGCAGTTGGGACTAAAACTCTTTATTCAGTGCTTATTCAAGTAGGCCCTGCCCTAAGAACCATCTACTGGGGCATTCAATGGGCCTCCCCTTGAATGGCTGAGGGTTTGGAATCTGCCAGTCTAATTGCATTCCACTGGAAGAAGCACATTCTGGAGGAAAGCATCACTTGGGTAACGGGGTCCCTCTTGGGGCGATTTTCTTTTCTGCAGGTCGTCTCATCATCTCAAGGAGGAACATTCCCCTGGGCTAAGGCACTGGGGCCCAACTCTAGGAGACCCCAACCTGGGGGTTGCAGATCCTTTGGGGGCCAGAAACCCAAACTCACACCAAGCTCTGTTTAAGGACTAAAATATATATATTATCACCCATCTATATGTTTTACAAAATTTTCAAGGCATGTAGTTACTGTTGTTATGAATAAAATATAAATTAATGAAAACATGGAATTGACTTCCTAGTAGTCTTTCTTGATCGTCTAGGTTTTCAGTCGAAACAAGTGTTGTTGTATACAGGTCTGAAAAACGTTTTGATGTCAAAAGCTATCCTTGGAAAAAAGTAGGGATCCATTAAAGTGATGGAGTGTGAACTTAGCAATCCAGATGCCTGGGTTTGAATCCCAGGTCCACTATTTGCAGCTGCAAGATTGGGATGAGATAGTCTTTTTCAGCCTCAGTATCTTTATCTGTAAAGTGGACGTTATAAGAGTATCTGGCTCATCAACTTGCCCATGATCCCAGGACACAACTTAGGTCATTGTGTGGCATAGATGCTAGTAAGGGCCTGATAAGGACAAGCTCTTAGTATTTTCAATGATAATTATTATGATGATCACCCCAAACAGTTCTGTGCTTGTGCAGATTAGAGAATCTCTGAATAACTGGCAGAAAGACTTTAGGTCACTTTTATTAGTTTTTGATCCAAATCTTCCCAGGGCCACCCCAACCGGGTGTGGAAAGGAGGAAGGCAGTCACTTACCTCATGGGTTTGAACATGGCCTTCCCGAAATCCGAGAACCTCAGCACCAGCTTGAGGTGGACCCCACTGGGTTTCACAACTGTGAAAGGCAGAAGAGTGAGTTAACCATGCTTCTGGGCCTCAGCCCAGGCTTGTGACTCTGTTCCTTCAATAAGCCCCGCTGACTTCTCTTTCCTCTTATGTAATGAGACCCTAAAGACTAGGATGTGCTCTCCATAACCTGCAGGGTAAACGCCATGGTGTCAGGTCATAGTGACGGTGCCCAGGGGCTCAAGACAGTACTTTTTACTTTGGGAGGTGAAGGCAGGAGGATCGCTTGAGCCCAAGAGTTGGAGACCAGCCTGGGCAACATAGTGAGACCCCCATTTTGAAAAGAAAAAAAAAAAAGGTACATTTTCTGCTGACCATGGGAAAAGAGCAACAAATACAGTGAAGACATTTACTGAAAACCCCAAAGAATGTTTTCCTAAGAATGAACCTTTTCCTCTTTGTGTTTCAACTACATCTTTGTAGATTCGACTTATGCCTTCTGTTATATTAGACTAGTTGGTTTATGCCTCTTTCTACTTAAGACTGTACACCTGGGCTGGGACCAGAGCTTGGCAAGTGAGTGCTTCTTAGGTGCAGGGAGTACTACTTCCTTAAATGTTGCATCCTGGGCACCTCACTTGCCTTACCCTGTCCCTGGTCCTGGAGGGTCAGGACAGTATCTCACTCACCTTGTGTTTTATAAAATGGTCAATGGCAGGTGCTTAACTGAAGAAAAAGGAAGCCTGGGGCACACCTTTATTTTCAAACCTTAGTGATATGGTTAGGCTTTGTGTCCCTACCCAAATCTCATCTCAAATTGTAATCCCCTTGTCTCAAATCTCATCTCAAATTGTTGAGGGAGGGATGTGGTGAGAGGTGACCAGATCATGGGACAGTTTCCCCTATGCCGTTCTTATGATAGTGAGTTCTCATGCGATCTCATGGTTTTATAAGGGGCTCTTCCCCGTTTGCATCTTCTCTCTCCTGCCACCATGTGAGATGTGCCTTGCTTCCCCTTCCCCTTCTGCCATGGTTGTAAATTTCCAGAGACTTCCTAGTCATGCTTCCTGTTAAGCCTGCAGAACTGTGAGTCAATTAAACCTCTTCCTTTATAAATTACCCAGTCTCAAGCATTTCTTAACAGCAGTGTAAAAATGAACTAATACATTTCAACATGCCTCATCAGATGTAGTCACATGTAGACATTTCTGATGTGTGTTCCACATATTGAAGTAAAGGGACAGGGCCACTCACAGCTGGTGATGACTGGCCTGAGGGTTTTAGGGTCCAGACCCACCTATAACCAGGTCACAGCACTCCTGGAGGGGAGCTCTGCCGCTCTCAGTCCTAGCTTTTTGATTCCATTAATCACTTACCCTTGTGAGTTTCAACTCTGGCTATATTAGAATCACCTGGGCCTCAGCGTCTGAACTCGAATCAAAACCCCTGGGGGTGGAGGCCGGGCATGAGCACTTTTTAAAGCTCCCCCGTGATTCTAATACATACGTGTGTGTGTGTGTGTATATGTGTGTGTGTATATATGTGTGTGTGTGTGTATATATATACACACACACACATATATACACACACACATATATATACATTTTAGCTGGAGTCTTACTCTGTTGCCTAGGCTGGAGTCCAGTGGCATGATCTCAGTTCACTGCAACCTCCACCTCCTCGGTTCAAGCGATTCTCTTGACTCAGTCTCCCGAGTAGCTGGGATTACAGGTGGGCACCACCATGCCTGTCTAACTTTTTATATTTTTGGTAGAGATGGGTTTTCACTGCGTTGGCCAGGCTGGTCTCAAACTCCTGACATCAAGTGATCCACCTGCCTCGGACTCCCAAGGCGTGAGCCACTGCGCCCAGCTGATTCTGATATTTTGTCAGTAGTGGGAACCATTGCTTCTTGAATTTGAAAGCAACTCCAATCACTTGAGGATTTTGTGAAAACTCAGATTCGGATTCAGAAAGAGAGTGAGACCCTGCATTTCTGATGAGCTCCTCAGTGATGCTGATGATGCTTTTCCTGGGCCACGCATTGCCCAGCGGGGCGTACACAACCCTTCCTCTTAAGTGCCTTTTCTTGTTGTGGGTGGATGGGGAGAAATGTTGAGTTCTCAGAGGTTACACAGAGAGCCATACTCCTTCCACTCTTGCCCAAGGTCGTCACTGGAGTGGATTTTGGGGTTTGCACAGCTGTGAGGGTCAAGAGGCTGGGTGAGGGCGGGGCCAGGTCACTTACTCTGGGTGCAGTCACATGCTCCCAGCAAGGCTTTCTCATCCTGACTGTAATCTGCAAAGGAGGAGAAGGGCAATGAGAACTTCCAGTCTTATTCCTGGGACAGCCTACAACATGGGGGTCCCTTGACTCTGGTTCAGATCACCAGAGGGGAGACTGTGATGTAGCCTGTGGCCCTTGCCCACTCTGTGGGAGATCTCTTGGAACCCAGGAGGCTGCAGCCTCCTTCCTTGCTCTGTCCCAGACCCCTGCTTTCTAGCCCTTCAGTGGACACTCCAGCAATACCTGGCTGGGAGACTGAGTCTGCTTTTGTCTCTGCTAATAATTTGCTGTGTCATTTTGATTGTCTCAGTGCTTGACAGCACAGACTTGGTATCAGCAGGCCTGTGTTTGAATCCCAGCTCCACCCCGTAGGTCCTTGGCCAAGTGACTCAACCTTTCTGAGTCTCAGTTTCCCTATCTATAAAATGGCAGTGGTAATATCCATGCCACAAGGTCTTTGGGTGAAAGAGAATGCGTCGCCTGCTTCAAAAGCAGCACTCAATAAATGGTAGTGATCACCTTCCTTTAGGTGTACCAAACAACAGCATACCTCCTTATGGCATCAGGACGAGATTATTGCTATAAGATCTCTTTCAGAGGGAAAAAGATCAATGTGTATGTTCCTTTTCTGTCTCTCAGGTGTCAGTGTCAAGCCTTTAATGTTCCACTCTGGAGCCTGGCCTGGGATGCGTTACCCAGACTCTCTGGGAGAAAGTCAGTCCCCCTTGCCTGATCCCATGAACTTTACCAGCACTGATGGTGGGAAAGTTCCTCATATCTTGCAGAAGTTTGCTGACAACAGGACTGGACCGGGAGTAGAGCCCATGGCGGTTAATACCCAGGTGGAACTGGACCCAACTGGCCTCGAGTCGGAGCTGCAGTGGGGGGTCCAGGGAGGTGAGGTTCATCTGCTCTCTGTACATCTTGTGTCGCCTGAAAGAGCCAGATAGTTGTTCATTAGAGGAACAAGAATGCAAAGACCCACCAAGATACCTTGTCTGCAGTTTTCATTCATCTTTTCATTTATTCCACAAGTGTATTAAGCATCTAATGAGGGCTAGGCTTTAAGCTGTGCTTAGGATATCATGGGAAGCAAAACACCTGTGGGGTCCTTTCTTACCCTCAGAGAGCTTACACTCTAGTGAGTAAAACACACAGTTATACAGTATCATACACAAATACTTAATTACAAACCAGGACAAATCCTGGGAAGGAAAAAAGGCAGACTGCTAAGAATAAAACTAGGGGCCTCATATAATCTGGGATCTCAGGGTGAGACTGTGGGTCTCTGTGCACTTTCCCATTAACTCTCTATCTTACATTTCCCAGTATTTTATGTTCCAAGGAATCAGAAGATAGAGGAGAGAAGGCAATTGGTGAGAATAACAAGAAGAGAGGGTGCAGATCTTTCAGTGGGGCTGGAAGCTGAGTTAGATTACAAAAGAAAAGAAGAATTAATGAGCCATTTACTGTTTGTTCTGCTTGGGTAGCCTTTTCTGCCAGGAAAAAAAGAGAAAAATAAAAAATGATGGTGCTACCATTTAGAGATGTAGACTGTAATTTGGGAGACAAGTTGTAAGTCTGTGAAATAACCAGAGCAAAATACAAGGCTGTTATAAATCAACTGCTAAACATGTGGCTCAGATGGAAACGCCTTAACGTTTTGGAGAAGGGAAAAGATGAATCTATGATGAAGTAGCCTGAGGACAACCACAGTGAAGAAGGCAGACTTCAGCTGGATCCTAAAGAACCGGGGGTGTTTGGCTTGAAGGGGACAGGGAGGGCACTCCTGCATTAAGGATAACATGAGCACTATGAGAGGTAGGCAAGAAACGGGTGTATCTGGGAATGAGAGAGGCAGGTTGAATAAACGCACTGTTGAATGAGAAGACGGAGGCCTCCGGATTGGAAGGGAAGGCAAATTAGTACGAGGTCATCTGGCTGGGAAAAGCTGATTGGGAGAGGTAGGTGGGATTATAGGAGTAGGGTTTTGCAGTTCCTATATATCCCTATATCTCAAACTGTGATAATATACCACTCAGGTCTGCGGCGGGGTAAAAAACAAAACAAACATGGCAGATCTGGGAGTGTCCAATTTTCTCATTGGTGGAGAGTTGTAAAAATTACCACATTGGGAGGCTGAGGCAGATTACCTGAGGCCAGGAGTTTGAGACCAGCCTGGACAACAATGATAAAGCCCCGTCTCTACTAAAAATACAAAAATTAGCCAAGCATGGTGGTGCGCACCTGTAATCCTAGCTACTTGAGAGGCTGAGGCAGGAGAATCACTTGAACCCGGGAGGCAGAGGTTGCAGCGAGCCGTGACGGCGCCACTGCACTCCAGCCTGGGCGACAGAGCGAGACTCTGACTTAAAAAAAAAAAAAAAGTTACTTTTCTATCAAAATAAAAATAGATGTATTATGGGGAAGGAAATAAAATATACCATAGGGATCTGAATCCATTTGTGATCTTAGTGATTGCAATGGACTGAATGTTTATGTTTCCTTCAGATTCATATGTTGAAATTTTAACCTCCAAGGTGATAGTATTGGAGGTGGGGCCTCTGGGGAGGTGGCAACCCTCATAAATGGGATTAATGCCCTCATAAGAGAGACCCCAGAGAAATCCCTCACCCCTTCTGCCATGTCAGGTTATAGCAAGAAGACAGTATCTGTGTACCAGCAAGAGAGGCCTCACTAGAAGAAATGGAATCTGCCAGCACCCTGGTGTTGGACTTCTCAACCTCCAGAACTGTGAGAAATACATTTCTGTTGTTTACAAGTCACCCAGTTTATAGTATTGGTTATCACACCCCAAACAGACTAAGGCAATTTTGCTTCACCATTTCTTTCCTATTTCTGACACCCAGAATGAAGTGTAATATATCCCCAGACATGACTGCCCAGTGCAGAGGAGAATATGGTAATTACCATCCCCATTCATGGCGTTTTCCTTGTATGAATGTAACTCAACACTGAAAATCTTTTGGAAATCATGTCACATATCTCTAAGAAAATATGATTTTATGGTAAGCAGGATTCTAAAATTGGCTTCTAAGATTCCATGCCCTCATTTCCAGAACCTGTGACTATGAAGAGCTCTCACTCCATGATTATGCCATGTTCACGGCGTAGTTGAATTTAGGGAGGTTGTCAAGGTGGGCCTGATTGAATCGCATGAGCCCTTGAAAGTAAAGTTTTTTTTCTGGCTGTTATCAGAAGTCCAAACGATCCAGAGCATCAGAAGGATTTGACACACTATTGTTGGCTTTGAAGATGGAGAAGGTCAAGTGGAAGGACCAGAGAGCTGTCATGAAATGCTGAGAATGCTTCCCAACTGAAGCCAGCAAGGAGATGGGGGCAAGGAACTGAATTCTACCAACAACGAGAATGAGCTTGAAGGAGGACCCCTGAGCTGCTGGTGAGAATGTAGCCAACCAATGCCTTGGTTTCAGTCTTGTGAGATCCTAGCAGAAAATGAGTCATACCATCTGATATGTTGCAGATGTTTGTCCCCTCCGAATCTCATGTTGAAATGTCGCCAGTGTTGAAGGCGGGGCCTGGTGGGAGCTAATTGTAACATAGGAGTGGGTCCCTCATGAATGGCTTAGCACCATCTCCTTGGTGATGAGTGAGGTCTTGCTCAGAGTTCATGTGAGATCTGGGGGTTTAAAGGCATATAGCGCCTCCCTGCTCACTCTCTTGTGCTCCTGCTCTTGCCACGTGGTGTGCATGTTCTGTATCACCTTCTGCCATGAGTAAGTTTTCTGAGCCCTCACCAGAAGCAGCATGCTTCCTGTACAGCCTGTGGAACCATGATCTAATTAAATCTTTTTTTTAAAAAAATAAATTACACAGTTTCAGGTCTGTGTTTTTCTTTCTCTTTCTTTCTTTCTTTCTTTCTTTCTTTCTTTCTTTCTTTCTTTCTTTCTTTCTTTCTTTCTTTCTGTCT